GAACCAATCATATTAGATATCGGACATCGGATATCGGGTCCAGGGTGAATCCTGCATAACTCTTCGTGCATCATGACCATGGTATAACTAGTAGGTCCTTCTCTGTCGGCCCCTTTCATCTTTGCGGTCCCGATCACATGGTATTCCGCCATGTCTTTCCAGGTCCAAATCAACGTATGTGTGTGTGTACTCATCAAACTACACTACCCATAGACATAATGTATATCTAGACCGAGCGTGTGCCTTTATTTGAACAGTGGAGGTAGAGGTTCACGAAAAGGACAAACTCTGTTTTCTCTCGTTCGCATGAGAACGAAATAGCACAACAAAGTTTGTGCTTTTCTACGTGAACGTCTACCCCCACTGTTCAGTGCTCGGTCTAGATACATTCTGTCTATGACACTATCGCACATACAACTTTTCTCTCGACTGGACCAACAAAATGTTGGATGCGCAGAAGGGGTCGACGCAAAACGAAACGAACGACGAAGTGGACCTAATAGCTACACTACATCACGACTGCGGAAAGAGGCGCACGAGGAGTCAAGGCCTGTGTCCACGATGCTAGAACCTGGTCCAAGTTCTAGTTTCGAGAAAATGCGTAGCCGATCAACTTGTAGCTATCCCATGAAAGTTGCAAGTTGATTGGCTAAACATTCCTCGGAACTAGAACCGGGACCAGGTTCTAGCGTCGTGGACACAGGCGACTTTGGAAAGTCGCGCGCTTTTCGAACGTGCCTCGATCCGCGTGCGACCTCAGACGGGTAGGCATTAATGACGCCGCGTATGACACCGTCGTGCGTTGACGTTGCACGTATACCAGCGTATCGGTACGTACGCGGGCTCCGCGGGGGGCGATGCTTTCCATATCTGCGCGTCGCAATCTCCGACAACAAAATTTGCCCGACGCCGCACACAGGTGGACGCAGTGCGGGCCCGCGTGGACGACCCCGTCCTTTTCCCCTTTTCCCTGGCCCGAGGCGCCGGTATCGATTATGAAATTGCGCTGGATAAAGCAAACGAGATACCGCGAGCGACGAGCTCGGTCGACGCTCGGTTTCCACGTGCGCTCTCGTGAACGCGTATCGCTGACGCCCCGGAACTGTTGGTTACCTTTCCGATCATATCGGCGCACCGATGCTCCGTCCTTGTAGCACGCGGCTGGAGAACGCTCTACCCTCGTCGTTCGCCAGTTGACGAGGATGCGCACCGCGTGTTCGCCCCGTATCGAGCCGTGTTGTACGCCGCGCGTATTTGTCCCTCCTACGGCGGGGGTCGGTGCAAACCCGCCTCCCCTAATCGCTATTCGTCTCTATCTCGTGCTCTAAACTACAATATGCTCTCTCGTGTGCATTGTGTCACGCGGCTGCGTCATTATAATTCCCGATAGGCGCCGGGACCTGCGGAAGCAGGCAACGGATCGCATTAACCCGTCATTATTATTTGATTAACTGCGGAAGAATCAGGAGATAATCGAGAGAACGCCTGGGCGACTTCCGCTTATCCTTCTCTTTCCCTCCCGCCCTTCTCTTCCTCCCAGGACCTTATCCTATTTCGAAATCCGAAGACACATCCGGCTTAAGCTCTCTCTCACCGAACGTCGAAGTTTCGAGCGACCCTATACACCGCTCGACTCCTATAACGGGCTTACGGCCCGGCTATTATCATTTAAGGAATGCGCATATCATGAATGAGATAAATTTCGCGATACACCGTGTCCCCGATGGCGGATTCGTTCAGCTTTTCAGGCGAGCGCGCGTTTATGCAATTTTCGCGGGATAAAAACGGGGGAAATCATGCGCGCAGCTGTAAACACACGTGAAATTTTATCGCCTAATCGAGCTTCGTTACGTCCCTACACCACGTTTCGTATATTTACCGTTTACCGCGAACAACTAGGAACATATTCATTTAACAAGTCATCCGAGTATCGAGGCGTTTTACGCCACCAGCCTGTGCCAGTTTATTTGTTAACAATTCATGTTGTCATATATTAACAATATGCACGTAACCATGCGAAATTGCTGCACGCTGAAGCGTGGAATATTTCAGATATAAATAAGCGATTGTTTGCCATCGCACTCCATCTTCGTCTATTATCAGTGCATTAGCGCGTTAGCGCGCTAAATCGACGCCCTCGCGGTGATTTAAAAAAAGGTACTTGAGAACTTTTATCTCGTCGAAATGCGTGCGCAAACATTCGGTACACCGAATGCATCGAGTATACGGGAGCTGATAAGGACGACTGGTTTCGCGGTATCAACATTGCCGCCGATCTCTCTAACTCCCTAGACAGCAGAAATGGCTTTAAAATATTCGCGGAATCCGTATAATGGCGTAAAAACTGCCCGGGCTTTACGATGGCCCGGAAATCTGCATTTCTAATTTTTATACCGACATTCACGAAATAACATCGCCGACGACGTAGTAAAACCGGGATTTGCGGAATCTCCGTCGCGGAATTATAAACGCCGGGAATTTTTTGAAAAATTCGGATCGGCGGTATGGGAGAATTACAACAAGACCTAAATGACGCGGGGGGTTTTTCTGTTTCTTGTTTTCAGAAAAATGACGAAATATTCTCCCCCGAAAAACGCTCGCGACGCTGGCGAGGACTTGTAAAACGGAGAGCTTAATAAATAAAATATATAGTTCACAAATCCTTCCTAAATTCTCGAGGTACGTGGCAGCCGAGTCGGCGGAGTCGATTTTGCGGAATTAAAGTAAACCTGCGAATGTGGTATCGATCGATCGTTAAAAAATGCGGGAATACAGTGCTTGCTTTCAATTCACGGAACACCACGTCACTTACAATTTCTCCCTCACGGAAGAGAAGTAAAGCGTTTACGAATAAAAAGGATCGCGAGCTAGCGAGCTTGCGGCAGGAGTATGTGTCACGATATTGATCGACTTGAGCAACTGTGCCATTATAGCTATATGCTTTTTGCCTAATAGTATCAACTATTGCGGCCGAGAACTCGGAGGAAAGCCTACGTTGGCGGCCTACTTTTAGATTCGCGCTGGAGCGAAATCTTTCTTTCCAGAATCGGGTCGCGGCGCGCGTGAAAGACGTGTTGCGAAAAGCGGTGCGTGAAAATGGGTCAGGCGTCTCACGACACGTTGTAGATTTACTTACAGCGTGTCCGAGTTATTTTACAATTATCAGCCGCGATAGAAACGAATCGTGCGGATTTGTTTGGCCAATAAATAAGAAGCGCCGCTCGACTCTCCGCGCCGGCCGATATACGAAAGAAAAATAGTCCGTACTCACTTTATTCGATTATACACTAGCAGCTCGGCTATCTCTCGGCCTAACCGCGAGTATAGGGTTTCTACGAAGACCAACACCTTCGGGTCTATCCTTAATCGAGCTTCACTGCGATGGTCTGGTGCTGACGGTAGTCTGGTCGCTCCTCTCAGAGTCGAGCATCGTATCGCTGGCTCTGGCCTCGTATCTCGGTGTATCAAACTGCAATAATAGAAATAATTTGTTAACACTTTTATTTTATATTTACTTATAATATTTGATTGCAATTAACATCGCATTGAGTAATAGAGAAACGCCAATCATTATGTAACTTTGAGCACGTAAAATATATCGCTCGATGCGATAATCTTTACGTGGCGATATTTTTTGTATATTTTCAATTTGTTCCGTTATAAGCAAACAAGTGGCAATTTGCTAGTAATATTTTTCAATGCGATCCCAAGATAAGCTATTGATGTCATGCATATACATCAAAAGTCTCAAGAATTTCCGCGATATTGATCATACATAAAACGCACTTTCTCGAAGCATCTCTTATCTCGGAAGTTTTACATATTTATGAGATATTTTCTCGTTACAGAGCGAGCCTCGCGTTGCTTGCCACGTTACAATTTTCATGATAATACTAAATGTTCTCTCAAAGAACAAGAGGAACGTTTCGATTAGCCTTAGTCCAGGAGCAAAAATTCTTCCGTCAAATTCTTCGCAGCGAAACCCCTGATAACGAGCGGCCCTCGAAGAATGCACGGCAGCTCTTTCAACCTGTCCTCAAAGTTCCGCTTTCAACAGACGGATACAACGCGCCCGGTATACCCGTGAGAAACGCGGATGTAGCAGCGACGCAGGAATTTCGGAACGTATGCGTAGCTCCACAAAGGACCCTTTAGCGCCGCTGCAACGAGTCCTTCCGGACAGCTATTAACATCGAGCATTCTGCAAGTCTCCTGGTATTTACCACGAGTAAGCTATCCCGCCGTGAATACAAAGGTAATCCCTTTTCCCTTTTACATCTTAACATTGCTGGTATCGCGTTTCGAATCACACAAGGTTGAAAGCCCTCGGTGCCCGAGCCTTCGAGAGGACGAGGCCTCAAGAAAGACAAATTTTTCCAATGTCTACCCTTCTTACTTCTACCAACGTTTTTCACTTGGGCTGTTTTCTCCAGCTAGACTGTGTCGAATTAAATTCAATGGCACACGGAGAGAATTTTCTCGTAAAATTTATCCTGACATTCGTGCATTTAATAAAATGTATACTAAGGATAATTGCTAGTAAAATGTGTGGTAAAATTAAAAAAAAAACTCTGAAAAAGTTGTTCAAAATGCCACGTTGTCCCACGAAAAATTCTCTCCGCGTACATGAACTCTTTACGTTCTCTATATAAATTCTCCTCAGATACAGCACTACATTCCTCGCCGTTGAGCTCCTTTATGTTGATATTTGTCACGGGCAGATCCAGCGGGGTGTTATTGGCGCGTGCATCAAATTAGTATGCGTCCAGCAATCGGGCTTCTCGCCATAAACCGAAAATCGAACCTTTGTACTGAAGCAGGATAAGCCGGGGGACCGGTCGACACATTCAAACACGCGGGAACATTTTCATAATGGAACAGCAATAACTATTATGGTACGAATTCGTCGAATTATTAATTGGGATGCCAATACGATCAATCGTTCTCATAATTCCTATATACGCCGTAACGCTCATTGATGCGTAAAAACGTTTATCGTGCAGCGTGCCGAATTATCCCAAAATACGAGTGTGGATATTACGAGTGCATATCAATTAACGGCATTGTGTACGAAACAGATCATTAATTTTCAAACGCGAAGAAATTTCAAGGGCCGGAAAGGTAGTCAAACGACGGTATGTTGTCAATTAAAGGAGAAATATGCTCGTATTGTGACGCTGACCAATTTTTTATTCCCTCAAGGAAGTGCACGCGTAAAAGTTTCTAAACCGATAGGATAAAGCGACGAGCGAGATTGAAAGGGTTGAACCCTTGGCTTAGGTAGGAACGAAAGAGATTATCGATGATGTACTTGCGCTTCGCAGCACTTATCCTCTCCAGTTTACAATTTATGCACATTAGGCGGTAGACGCGTACACGAAGCGGAGCGTCGGTCGAACTAACATTTGCCCTCGTAGTGGGACTCCTTCGGTCGTTGTTATGGGGCATTTGACGTAACTAAATTTCGAGCAAATATTTTCCGCTTAACGCAATCGCAGACATAAACCGTATTGCAGGCCTTTGACGATAATCCGCCGTGTAAAACGCAATTTACCAAGTCGTAAAATATTGGTGAAATTTCCCTTTTAGAGCCGCGCTATCTGCGTTCCGGATAATTTGCCGGAGCTCGTCAATGATCGATTTCCGCTTATCAAAGTTTCACGTTTCGTCTTCGGCGTGTGTTTCGCAATAGCTTTCATAAAGATATGGAAATGCACGTGGTTGGAAACAGAGGTATCGATCGCGATATCCCATACGCGTATGCATACCCGGCGGTGCATCCAACGGCTCCTCTGCATTTCATGCGCGGGTTATCGATGCAATATTCTTGACATTCGCGTGCATCGAAGCCGTTTTATCCGTGCACACGGGATCATTCGTAAATATCCAGGATTTGCAATCCCACCTACGGTTGAGAACATGAGGGATACTGCATGCGTATTGTCTCTATCTAGTTGGTGAAAGGTCGAGTCTACCGTCATTTCTATTCCAATAGATATGACATTTAGATGCGGCTTCGTTACACGCTTCGCCTACCGGTCAAACTAGTACATTTACATTTATAATAAGTACTATAAACATTGATGACATCTTAGATTTGATTTGGATAACCCGATAACACGTTTGTGCTTCAGAGTCTTAATAAAATAAATCGTATTTATACTTGGTTGAAAATTCTACATTATTCCCCATCAAAACTCGATTAAATTAAAATCATATCATAGATTCTCCGAAATAGATATGCTCATGCAATTATGATAATCGAATGCGACGAGAATTCCGAGTGGTAAAAACGAGAATAGCTTCTGGATTTTGTGGAGTAATTTCGAAATTAAAAAAAAAATCGCTTCTCGTCCCGCGTTCACAAGTCAGTGAGGAATCTGGCGAATATCATATTGAAATCAAGGTATCATGCGCAGTAATCAAGTTGATAGTTAGAAGACTTCGTTACGATATCTGGATAATATTCTGTAGCCGTCCACGACCTAGTCATATTTCAATTGATATCACATTCAAGTCGATCAACATTTGTCGACTCGACTTGAATATGACATCTGTACTGTACATCAACTAAATCGTCAATTATTGATCGACACTGATACGATATCTTCTATACATCTATAGATGTTAAATACACGTCGACAAGATATCGGCAAAGTATTACGCGGATCTCTGTCGATCTTCTTGCGAAGATCAATGAAGAATCTGGTCGTCGTCAAATCAAACGGCCCGAAAAATCATAATCGATATCGATTTGATCATCGACTTGTGAACCTGGGGTGCCAATGTGACGTATAGGACCGGTAATCAGATCTTATATTCAAGACTGCCTCAAGATTATCTTTAGATACTCCGTAGCCAATGAAACGTTCCGTGCAGCATCTTTGGGTAAATTGAAGACTATGAATACCGGCCAAGTGTCACACCCGTAAACGGGTCTCAACCACAGACTTCTATGCACTACTAGACTGCTATCGCCACGTCTTGTCAAGTAACTAAAGTAGTCAGGGTCAGTGACACACCGATGCACACGTACTACTTCATTCACCTAACAAGACATGGCCGAACTCTTGCCTCACTTTTCAGCACGAAGGTAGGCAGTCTAGTAGTACATAGAAGTCTGCGGTCCCAACGGCGAGCAGCGTTGCGGAGACGTGAAATCTGACGGTTATGTGGATCCGCACGTGCGTGTCCGCGCAGAGGCTTCCAAGTACACTGGTAATCTGGGACGGGAGCGATACGATGCATCATCCTATCGCGCATCAGCCGTGGCCGCAAGTAAGCCTATTAGTGCGCAGCATTATTAGAGGATACTATCTGACCTAAATTCCGGGTACCTATCGGTTACAGGCGTACCGACGGTCGTAGTCATCCTTAACACGAATTTACGATAAGGCCGTGGGCTTAGGTATACACGCGCTGCCAAACTGTCTCAACTTTTGAGCAGGGGATCGGCTGTACAATTGTTCAGAGTATTCAATCAAAACGTTGCCCCCGTTGCTCAACCATCAGTGGTCGAAACGATGAACCGGCTTCTGACACGTGGCGAGCAAAACGGAAAGTCGATTTCGAACGGGATAAGGCTCGCGGTGCAGACGCGACTTGGCGTGCCGTGATTGAAAAGGACTAGTCCCGCGTCTGCCTCGTCATACGGCGACGTTAGGTCAATCCCCGAAAGAGATCTACGACAGTGAAAAAAATATGTACACATATATACGATATTGCAATGTTGCGTTGGGAAACTTTTGTCTCCCGTCGGAGTCGCAATATCGCAGTTGCTCGATAAGTCCCCACGCTCGACGAGACCGATGTAGGTGTATCGATATTAACCCTAGGTATACGCTCTTCATTTCGTGATACTTAGTTATACACACTGAAACCCGACTAAACTTTCAAACGTTGTAGTTTCCGCAGAACTACGTCTATTTGGATGTTTCTTTTAGATTAAAGAGGAGACTATCAGGAATGCATCTGTACAAATGAAAATCTTGTTCATATTTTTCCCAGATAAGCCGTTCAAACTCATAGCTAAGCGACTACTGAGGCTTTTCTTACCGGCAAATAAGAAGGAGTCAGAGTTTTTTATGCCGCAGCGTCATTTTTATAGTACGAGGGCGCTCCGTGCTGCCAAGTCGTGAAAAATTTGACTGGGTCTTTCGTTCCCATGAGTGTACACCTAGGGTTAACCACGGGATATTCTGCAGGGTCCGCGATCGCAAAAAGACAAGGTACATTCATTTGTCCGCGTTAGAGCGAGATTGCCGATCTCGCGTGAACGTTCACGCTATATTTTCCCGAACGTCGGACGCGCAATCTCCAGTTCGCCCGAAAACCGGTCGAGATGGACAAATTTTCGCTAACTGTATAATTAAGCAACTGGGGAACAGACTAAAACCGTATAAAGGCGTCGTTAGACGAGTTTAGATCTTTGTCAAGTGCGAGTCATCGGAGCTTACGGCGCCGTCTACT